AACAACGTGTTTTTTGTGCGACCGGCCATACCATGTAACCATTTGTAAAACAACAAAGTAACCCCTATAACATACACTAACCAAGTAACCTTTGTAGTATTGACCAATTAATTCCTATAACATTTACGAAGTAAACCCTTTAACACTGACCAAATAAATTCTATAACTGTAACGAAATAACCCCTGTGTGGCCAGTCACATACTTCCTCCGTTCTTTTTTTATTGCACCATAAGGGATTTCACGCTTGTCAATGCATTTTTTTAGCTATTAATATCTTCAATTATACTTTTGTAAAAATTATAAAAAAAATAATATTTGAAAAGAAGATTTCGAGACGAATTTAACTAGATCCCACATGACTATATTTTTCCGAATGGATAAATCACAAATGATGGTCAAATAAGATTAAGTGAATAGTGTAAAAGTCCTAATGGTGCAATAAAATAAAAACGGAGAAATAAAAATTTGTGTTCACCCAATCTCTTTTAATTAACTAGCTTTTGTGATTTGTAAGTAAGAAAAAAATATAGTCACGTAAGGTCTTTATAGATTTGTCTTAATATCATCTTTAAAATATCACCTTTAATTATAACTTTTAATCAATCATAATTAAAGATTTCATGGCAAAAGCAATACATTAGCAAGCGTGAATCACAAATGGTGCAAATTTAAAAATAGAGGAAGTACATTTTAGCACTGTATGATTTGAATCTTTTATGAACCTCGAAATGTCTAGGGCTAATAATGTATGTTAAGGTTTAACTTTGATGGATTGGATCGCCTAATACGGCTGATTGTTAGTTTATTGCTTCAAATTATTAGGAATGTTATGCTTTCCTATCTTTTAGTTAGTTAGTTACCACTAGTTGCTTAATGTTTGGAGTCAATAATAATAGTTACTCCCTCCGTTTTTTTTATATGCATCACTTGCATTTACACGGAGTTTTAGGAAAGTTATTTGCTTCAATATTATATTGTACAAGTGGGGCAAGTGGATGATTAATTTATTTTGATAAAAGTACAATGTGGGTCATGAAATAGATAGTATGTGAGAGAGAATGATTTATTTAATAATATAAGTGGGGACTATGAAAGAGAGTGAAATGATAAAAATATTTTGAGTGGGGTATTTGAGAAGAGAGAGAGATAATAAAATATAGTATAAAGTTACCAAATATAGAAATGATGCATATATAAAAAAAACACCCGTAAATAGAAAGTGATGCATATAAAAAAAACAGAGGGAGTATTGGTTAGTCAATGTTATTGACTAGTAGTGGTACGTGGAGTTCGTTTCTCCACTTTGAGAATCATGTTTGTTAGTGGAGCTTTCTCAAATTTACACAAATAGCACTACAAACAATGAAATCAAGTTGCATGGCTTGTTTTCATATGCAATATTTTCTTTTTAACTCTCTTTCTCCCTTTTTTTTTTTTTTTTTTTTTTTTTGCTTCATCTCTTTCCCTTCTCTTTTCGGTTTTTCCCAAGATCTAACCTGAAGCTCTTGATACCATGTCAGATATTTTAATATAGATAACTCTAGAGAAGGAAAGAGAGAAAAAACAACCAAAAAACTGATTTATTTCACACACTAATTCACGGTAATACAAATGCATTATATATAGCCAATGAACATAACCACCTAAAGCTATATAAGGGGAGGCATGATCACATGATCAACAAAATGCCTAACTATACTCCACTAACGGATACAACTCAACACTACTCATCATTAAATCCTAATTTCTAGCCACGTTAAACCACAACTACAAACTATAACAAATTTATTTGACTAACTTGAAGCAATACACTAACACTGATGATGAATTGACCTTGAACGACTTAAAATAGTTTTTTTGGGTGGTATTAGGGTTAGTATTACCGGGGCAAACTATTCACAATTTCATATTTTTAGTGTCATGACATCGGGGGGAAACAGGTCCTATCTGTACTTTAAAAGACAAGAAATAGATCACATTGAGTCATTAGACCAGCGTATCACGCAAGCAACCAGGGTGCCCGTTGGCCACTAATGCGATGCGATATGTTGCTGCACAAAAGCTAGCTAGTGTCCGCATTAGATTAGCCGATTAGGTGCCTCAATTTTATCTATTTTTAACGTGTTACATTGATTGAGCGTATAGAGCGAGGACCTAAATTAGTCTATTTATATAAGCTAATTAAGAGTCAATTCAAGATAATTTAGGTTAAATCTATATCATGTTGATTTATTAGGTCAGTTAAGTGGGACTAGGACCATGGGATGATATTATAAGTAAATATATTTGGGTTAAGTTTGAGTTGAGTGGTCCATCTTCTGATTCGAACTAAAATGAACGAGTTTTATTTTATCAATCATCGGGTATCTATTTTTTTAGGAGGCATGATTATTTGTCTAGACTCTACAGTTGCAGGGTTTGTACTCCCTTGGGCCTTGACCCAATAATACATAGACATGAATTAGATGTTTAAATCTAGTTTGCACTCCCTCCATCTTCTATAAGCTGTCAAATTAACATATATATGATCAAGTTGTATACAGATTCTTAAATGAATCTGGTTCACACTAATTTATTGTGGACCATTAACATTAGAGACAATAAGATTGTTTTATTAATAAAAAAAAGGTTACTATATTAAAATAAAAGTTATTATGTTGAAATAAAAATAAGTGTGACATTATAAAAGCTATAAGAGCATAATTTTTTAATGAAATAATTAATATATATAATAAAGATCACTATGTTAAAATTAGGTCACTATTCAACATAATGTTGTACTTTAAGTTCATAATAACATTAGGGTCACACAAGTTTTTAAAAAAAGTTACTATATTAAAAATAAGGTTATTATAATAAAATTATGGATCACTATGTTGAATATAATGTCAATTACGTGTGTATAAACCTTAGGTCCACAATAATATTATTGTGGACCAGGTCCACGCAAGATTTTCTGGCAATTTGTATATACATAATTTGTACATACTTTGTACTAGAGCTAGCAACCATGTTGTGTCGTGTCATTCTCATATTTATATTCGAAGTTAAACAAGTTAGAGGATCTCAACAATAACTCAACCCACATAATAAACGTGTGTCTCATATTGTCTCGTTTAACTTTTTTTTTTTTTTTTTGAGAAACTGTCCCGTTTAACTAATTGTTTCTAAAATGCTTTACATTAATATATATATATATATATATATATATATCGTTCGTGTCGTGTTGTCATGTTATTAGTAAAAATGTTAGCCGCAAAGAAAATATTTATTATAGTTTATTTTCCGTAAGTTGGTTGATTTGTACGTGTTTCATGTTGAAAATATAAACACTAATCCGATCGACCCGTTTAATTACACGTGTCATGTTTTGTTGACTTGTTTAATTCGAATCATAAGTTGTTAGCACTAACCCATTTTTTATTTTATTTTTTACTAGAGCAGCCAAGGAGAGCGCGTTGCACGCGGGGTGCCCAACCCTTTCGGCTTAATTTTTCTTGGTTTGTGTTTGAACTTCACATGGAGTTAATTACACAAATAAGTAGAAAATGAACTTAGACAAAATGCTTCTAAGATTAGCTTTGCAGTAAAATTAGCTCTATGCATCTCCACCTGCGGCCTCTTTGTCCACCCTTGATAATTCCCTCGAATTCCTTCTTGCTTTCTTCAATTCCCCTTTTCATCGTAGTCAGTTTGGTTTTTGTTCTTCCTAATACATCTATTTCGGCACAATCACAGATTAATTTTATCAGTCTCAATAATGCCCTTTAAACCCAATTATGAGTAAGTCGTTAATTTAATTTTGACCTTTAGAAAATAAAGAAAAAAACGCCCACAACAAGCAACAACCTTTAGATGTCCAGTGACTAATATTGTCATATAATTAAACCATAACCCCCATTAAATATAAAAAAAATTTTAAACTTTATCATTCTTTTTTTTTAATTTCTAATTAATTGATGGGTCTTTCAAATTCATCTATTTTATGGATTCATCGAGCCGAGAGAGAATTGCTAGAAAGATTGTGAGATAGAACAAAAAAAGGCAAATAGCCAAGTTCGTCATTCTTCTTATTATCATTCACTATTCAAGTTTCTGGCAAATAATCTCATTTTCATGTACCCATATTCGATTAACACTCTACAACCTTACTAAAGCCCCTCATTTGCCTCCTCTTAAAAATACTACAATACAATTGCAAATGAGCTAAACAGTACCTCTTAAGTTTGGTAATAAGTATTATAATTTGAAATTAATAACAAAAGAAAAACTTGTAGATGATAATCAACTAAATCTTTCACATACAAAAATGTGAAAGCTCTTAAAATTATACAAGTAGTAATTAATACTACAATCCAATATATAGCAAGGGTGAAACTTTAAGAAGCATATTAATTTTATAAATATACGACCTTTTTTTTTTTTTTTTTGACAACTATGACCAATTGGAAACTGAGTAATTTTGATTTTAATTGTTCTTATATAATTTTGGGATTGTGGAATTATGTATTTCAATGGAGATGGTGAACATAGATTGAGAAGAAATTAATAGAACGTAAAAATGTTCAAGAGTAATCAGTACTTCAAGACAAGAAGAACTAAACTCATAAATGGTTAAGAAAAAATCAGTACTTCAAGTAAGGTGAATAGAAAAAGAAGAAAGAAAGCTCAAATGCTCAAAACTCATAAATGATTAAGAAAATGTAGTATTTGAAGTGTAAGGAAAGTTACAAAATTACATACGGAGATAAAAAGGTAAATATACATTTTGAGGGGTATAATGATCCCTGCACTATTCATAAGAGCAATTTTTTACTTTTTGTAAGGTAGGGATATAAGGTAGGGATGTCCGGTCAACTTTTTCCAGCTCTACCTAGTTTGTAATATTGACCAATGATGCTCATTAAATTAATACAAAATTGAGGGAATATTCTTACAAGTCTTTAGGGTTCTTCGTGGTCCGGGTAACTAGCACAACCGTCTATAAATACATGTACAAATCCTCACATTCTTTCATATCCCATCCAAATTAATATTAATTGGAGCCTACAAAATATGGCAAACACAAAAGCTTTTCTTATTGTCATCCTCTTTGCTGCAATTCTTATCAGTTCCTATGAGGTCTCAGCTCGTGAGCTCGCTGACCCTCACTCGACTAGACAAACTCGTTAGTTTCTTATACATTCTTCTCATTATTTATGACGTCTTTTTCTTAAAATTTTATTGAGTTAGTTTTGTTGTCATGCTCTCTTTTAAAATTTTATAATGATTGTTTGAAATATGATTACCATAATGTTTTAATGAGCATATATTTTATTTTATGTTGATTTATTTTTTTGGAATTATAAAATATATTTTTATTATTAATTATTATTTTTGGTATAAAAAGAGTATCATCAATATTATTTTTTTTATTTATCCAATTTGTATCTTTGAATAAAGAATGCTGCACTTATAAAGATTCGGGGTTATCAGAGACTTATTTATACACCACAGTCCACAGGTGCACATAGACGACGTAGAATTAAAATTTGTTCATACTGTTTTACTATTTCATTTGCTCATTCTTATCTAAATACGGAGTACGAAAATGACGGTGCTATAAGTATGTTTTTGATAATTAACGGAATAAATAACATGACTAATTTAAGTAGCTCATCATTTATGCACAAATAAATATACCTTGTAATGATATTGTGCTATAGGTCTTTTTTTTTTTTTTTTAGAGAGAGCCACAAGGACGGGGTGAAAATCGATCCCAAACCTTTTGAAATCGGGAAGAAAGCTCTATTCACTTGAGCTATCCCTCACTCTCTATATTGTGCTGTAGGTGGTATTTAGATCATGAGTTCCTGTGTTCATTTCGTTTTTGCAGAGTCTGTGGAGGAGTCAAAGCAGTCGTATACAGGAGGAGGTTATGGTAACCCAGGAGGAGGTTATGGTGATCCAAACCCACCCTCGAGACAAAAGCGTAACTAAATGATACGCTGTGCGTGAAATATATGAAAGGTTTAGCATAACAAAATATATAGTCATATATATTTGTGTGTACCGATATGAAATAAATAGATTGGGAGTGAACAAAAATTATGGTTTGATTATTTTCATGAGTTAATTGAGTTGGTGCTGTGTTCGTCCCAACTTAACTATCATGTATAATTTGATCCTATAATATAGACTTTCCGGGTTATATATTCTATGTAATTCCCCTTTTTTCTTTATTTTAGTTGACAACTTTGAATTTGTATTAATTAAGTTGGTGCATATATCAATATATCATACTTTCTCTATTTTCTTTAATTTAGTTGACCACTTTGACATTTGTATTATTTATATAAGGAATTTTTGTACAGAACTACCTTATACAAGTTAATATTTGTGAAAAACTACCTTATAAAAAAATTGTTTAAAACTACCTATTAACCAATAGATGTTGTAAAAAAACTACCCTATAATACAATTAATATTATAAAAAGCTACCTTTTGCCGAATTATTGCATTGAATAAGAGACGTTTAATGACCCATTTTTCATTCATTTTTTCTCCTTTTTCCACCTAATTATTTCTCCATAGCTTCCTTATAACCCTTAATTCCTCTTCTCTTTCATTGATAAATTAAGCACATATTAGCAACTTACAACATTTAGTTTTTAAGAAAAATTTCCGGGAATAATCCCACATTTGGGGCGTCCGTAGAAAATAATCCCACCTTTGGGCCGTCTGTAAAAAATAATCCCACCTTTGGGATATTTTTAAATAATCTGACCTTACCTCCAATCTGCTATCCATGGTCCTAGGTGACTGGTTACCGCTTAATTTTATTATTTTTTTTTGTTTAAAAAACACATGTCACCATAGAATTTGTCTAAAATTTTAAATTAAAAAAATATTTTTTTTTAAAAAAGGGGAGTCAGCCAGCCCTAGCCACCGCACTTCATCGCCGAATCGCAGCAACCATCAGATCGAAGCTCGCTAAGTCGTCGTCGCTATTGTGAGTGGTTTAGGCGACCGAAATCAAGGTCGTACGACTGTACGTGGGTGGTCTGGATGGCGTAAATTGAGGCAAGGGGAGGGGTTGGAATCGGGAGGAACGCTGGAGTTGGGGATCTGGGTGACTAGAGCCACATGGTAGGGGTGGCAGGGCCGACATCGAGGGTAGGGGGTTGGTTCTTAATGCGTTTCGTGGCGGTGGGGGGAAGGTTGGTGGTTCGAGGGAGTGTCGGCCCTACGGGAGAGGTTCTAGGCGGTCGACGCTACGGGCCTGGGAAGTCCAGCAGCTAGGTCGGTGGTAACAGGCGGGGATTGGTGGTTTTGGCAGGTGGGGGCTGTGGGGAATTTTAAATTATTTTTTTTTTCTTAAAAAAAATTAAAATTTTGTTAATTTTTTTAACCAATCGCAAGTCGACACGTTTCAGGCGACTTGTTATGATAGGTTAGTTGACCAATTGGGACCATTGGGAGCAGATTGGCTATGAAGGTCGGATTATTTAAAAATATCTCAAAGGTGGGATTATTTTCCGTGGACGCCCAAAGATAGGATTATTCCCGACAATTTCTCTTAATTTTTATAAAGTAGTTTCTTACAACAATTTTTGTATAAGGTAGTTTTTCACAAATTTTGATGTATATAAGGTAATTTTTCACAAAAAGTCCTTTATATAAATTACACTTTGACTAGATTGTGTGATGATTTATAGTTACCGTAAAAGATATTGTCATATGATATCTAATTTGGATCACCATAATGTAAATTTTATGAAAATCTAATTTTAATAATTTTAAAATGGAACATATAAGCATTAAATTTACACTTGAAAATCGTAAAAAGTTAAAAAATCATCAAAATATAAACACTAATAACACCGATTTACGCGTGTTTTTGTCATGAATTTATAATTTTATATAATTTCCAAGAGTATATTTAATACTTATATATAGCCCTTAGGGCTACATATAACATTACCCTTAAATAATCTCTTGGTTGTGTGAAAAATAATACAAGTATGACGTAAGGTATTTTCTCTATTTATGCAATAAATATAAGCCGCTGCATAGAATGAGAAACTTATGGAATATTCCATTCAAAATTTCTTAAATTAATAATGGGTTTTTTTTTATATAGTAACCCTGTTTTTTTCACTTTTCTACGTTGTGCCCTAACATATATCACTTTCTACACTGTAACCCCAATATATTTTTTGTTTTCATACGGTAACCTTGTTGTTATCCTGCCGTTAAAAAATTCCGTTAGTGGGGCTCACTCTCCATTATTAGTATTTTTTTATCGATTTGCGCGTTGAAAAATACTCTGTCAAAGGTTTCGGGGGCTATTTTGGCAAAAAAAAAACGTAAATGCCCCACTAATGTAAAATGCCTCGTTTTGCTTATTAAAATATGTCTCGATTTACGTGTTCACATTTTAACACACAAAATGAGGCATTCACGTTATTTTTTTGCCAAATATAGGCTCAATTTGGTCCCCTAAGAACCAAAATAGTCATTGAAACCTTTAACGGAGTAATTTTCAACGTGCAAATCGATAAAAAAATATTAATAATGGAGAGTGAGCCCCACTAACGGAATTTTTTAACGGCAAGGTTACCGTATGGAAAAAATATATTGGGGTTACAGTGTAGAAAGTGATATATGTTGGACAACGTAGAAAAGTGAAAAAAACAGGGTTATTATATAGAAAAACCCATTAATAATATTATATTTTTAACGCCTTGGTTTGCATGCAGTAATGCCTTGGTACGTGTACTTTATTTCTAAGTTGCAAAAGTTGTTAGGTTATGCTTGATTGGTTGTTATGATTCCTTTTATGATCATTTTGGCCCTTCAAGATTGGATTTGATATTGAAATTGGAAAAAGATCAAAAACCCCTCAGTTTGCTGCAAAAATTAGAAGAAACACCCTAGTTTAATTACGAGCTAGTAAATTTCTTGTGCTTTGATTGAAGCATTTTGACATAGAACCTCTTTAGCCTTCTGAAGTAGAATCAAATTAATTTCATTTGTGCCATCAAGTTGGTAGGAATGTAAATTGATGATTGCAAAATTATTTGGTCATTTCATTATCTAAGACAAAAAATTCATAGGATTATTTGTTGTGGAACCAAGCTAGCTAGTAAGTCACGACAGTCACTGGTGGTTGGTTGTGGGACCAAATGCAAACACAACCAATCTTTTTTAATTAATTATCTTTCATTCTTTTGTGATTTTTATATAAGAAAAACATAGTCATGTGAGATCTCTTTAGGTTCGTCTTAATGTGTTGTTTAATGAAATACTACAAGAGGGGGGAGGGTTAAATTGTAGTATGACAAATTTGACAAACTTTTTGCGGAAATAAAAACAAGCTAAAATAACTAAAACTACAAGAGAGATTTTACGTGGAAAACTCATTGGCCATAATCAAGGAGAAAAACCACGATCACTTGACATTTTAGGAAAAGAATCTTCACTAGAATAGGGCAAAAGGACCTATTACAAACTAAAGACTCTAACTATGAGTTCCTCAACAAACCCAAAGCCTCGAGGAACAAGTCACCCAACTTGTTACTCTTCTCTTCTCTTTCTCTCTTCTCAATTAATTTTCTCTTCTTACTTCTCTTTCTCTCTTCTCTTTCTCACAAACAGAAGTTCACTCAAACTTCCCAATTCCTCAGCAAAATACAACTCGAAAGAATAAAATCTAGTATAAGGACATTAGAACACTCTATTTCACTAGTGTGGAATTGACTCTTGACTCGGTTAAAGAAAACAAAGATCGAAATCTATTTGAGCAAGGGTGAGTTTTCCAATTGAAATAAAAAGACTATTTATTATAGACCAAAATTCGTTTAGGAAAAACCTCTTTGTGCAGCATATCCATAACGCCACTACTCCAACCCACTAGGAAGAACATGTCCTAAAATAAAGGGCATGGACTCCTTAATGTGCAAGACCATGATATGAGAAAGATCATAGGGAGTAGGCTGCAAGTTATGGGAAAACTGAAATTAGATTTTATTTGTAAGCAAATATTTCAAAAATAGAACAAAATAAAAATCCTTTTTGTTAGAAAGATTAACGGTGAAAAACAATTGTTTTCCTAAAATCTAGCTTGCATAATATTATCTTCTTAGACCAATTCCACACAAATATTTCGAGTGTAATACTATCCTCACACTTACATAAATCCTAAAATATAAAAATACTTAGTCTTCATGATTCTCTAGTGAAGCTTCTACTCCGAGGCTTTTGTTCCTTGAAAGGAACTTTTCTTCTCTAGTGAAGATTCCACTCAGAAGCTTTTGGTCTCTGAGGGTAAACTTCTTTTCTCAAGTCTTCAATTCTGAAACATCGGTACCTATGAGGGAACTCTTCTCTTTTGGATTGCTTTGAACCTGGTTGTCTTGGTCCTCATGGTATCTTCTCAAGACACTTAATTCTCCTATTCTTTGCGACTGATCACACACTCAAACAATCAAGCTCTTATTAGTTTGTAAATAAGTTAGGTTGTGTCATCATCAAAATCATAAAGTCCAACATAATGTCAACTATGAAATATCACCTTTTTATAACTTTTAATCAATCATAATTAAAGATATTAATGGCAAAAGCAATACATTGGCAAGCGTGAAATCACAAAGGTGCAACTATAAAACAGAGGAAGTACATTTTATTATTGTATGATTTGAATCTTTGATTAACCTCGAAATGTCTAGGACTAATAATGTATATTAAGGCTTAAGTTTGATGGATTGGATCGTCTAACAGGGCTCATGATGAATCGACCTTGAACGACTTAAAATGAAATTTTTGGTGGGTTAGTGTTAAATTTCCGGTGTAAACGATTTAGAATTTCATATTCAGTGTCTTGAAATCGGGAGAAGCAAGTTCTATCTACACTTAAAAGACCAGCGTATCACGCCAGCAACTATCTTACCACGTTGGCCATTACTGCTTTGCAATGTTGCTGCATGAACGCAGATTGGTGTCCGCATTAAGTGATATGTTTCAATTTTACCTGTTTTGACACACTGATTGAGCTTATTATACAGGTCCTTAAGTCAGTTTCTGTAGAGGGTAAGCTAATTACGAGTCAAGTCTAGGTTAAATCAATCTTGTTAATTTATCAAGTCAGTTAAATGGGATTAAGATAAGTACTACCTTTGTTTCATATTTTTTGGAATTTTGGAAGATTTTATATCTCACAAATAATATCCTAAAGTTGCAAAAAAATATGAAACAGAAGTAGTAATAAAAATTGGGCCTAATATGTTTGGATTGAGTTTGTGTCAATTAGTCCATCTTCTGTTTCAAACCAAAACGAACGAGTTTTATTTAATTATCTCTTGATCCGGCCAATTCATACATGAACATGAATTACATGATAATTTGTCCAATCTTTCTTGATCATATTTAAAGCTAGTTTGCACAAAAACCAACAAGCTGCCAAATAAACATATGATTTATTTCTATATACATAATTTATACATACTCATTACTAGAACTGACAAACATGTTGTGTCATTCCCATGTTCGTGTTCCAATTTAAATGAGTTAGAGGATCTCAACCCCTAAACCATTTAATAAATTGTGTGTGTCATATTGAAGTGCCTCATTATATAGTTTTTGAAATATATACAAGTATATAATGTATGTTTTTGGTATATAGCATAAAATTTTGTGTTGGAATTCTAAACACTAATCTGACCAATTTAATTAAACATGTCGTATTGATATGTTTAATAAAACGAGTCAAAAATCCTTGATAGTTGACACTAGCTAACCTAATTTTTTCGTGTCCAGTGTGTGTCGTGTCAGTTTTTGCCAGCTCTACTTAGTATTGTATTACTTTTGACTAATTTATAATAGCAAAAATACACTTTAATAATCCCAACTATTGTCGATTTATTTCTAATAATCCCAACTAAGATTTATTTTTTAATAATCCTAACTATTACATGACTTTGCTTCTAATAGACCCAACCGATCAACACCAAGTCAATGACTTGCTGTAATGGGTTACTATAGGGAATAAATTTCAAGCGTTAACCCCCTTAGCTTGAACCCCACTGTGATCATACACTAAAGTACGGTGGCGTCCAAAAGGGAAGAAGATAGAGAAAAAGAGTCGCCAACAAGTTTTAGGAACTTGTAAACCGTTCACAGGGTGAAGTTTACACCCCTTAACGATCCAAGAGATCGTCAACTCCATAAGGTCTTAAACCAAATAAGGGTTCGGGGATGAAGGTACAAATCCAACCTAAAAGAGATTGAACCTGCCCTAATAATAGGCCTCTACTTTATTCTAATCGTATTCATTGCGCTTTCTGACTAACATACAATCAATAGGATTAACCCTAAACCTGTTTATCTATGTTGGTTGAATATAATGCACAAATAAATCTATTATTGGCGATCACTTGAAAATATAATCAAATTAACCCTAACAAGATTATTAAATATCTTATTAAGCGTGATTACAAGTACATATTCCCTTTAAACATACATAAAAAGGCGTGATCAAGCAATAACAATAAATATCAAGCAACATAATAAATAATCAATATCATGAATAATAATTATAATAATCATAATAATAATATCATAAATAAAATAATCATCATAAATCATAACAATTATAATCATAATCATGTTCATGTGAATATTAAAGCATAATAATAGTAAGATCCTAGGCATAATACTAACAAGATTAATAACAAACCCTAGCATGTCACTAAGCAATAAAAATCAAATCTTTAACTCTAACATGATACTAACAATTATAAATATTAGGAAGAGAATAAAAGACATCGTAACAATCATATTTAATATTAAAATTACTCTAGTCATGATACTAGGAATATCATAATAACAATATAAACATGATTTCTACATCATAACATCAATTAAAACCATTAAAGTACTTACTTTGATGCCTCGTACCTCGTTCTAATAACAAAATACACACGTTATTAACTTCAAGGAAAATAATAATCAAAACAATTAAATTAAATAATTGAAATAGAGATTTGGGACCAAACCCTCATAAATTAAACCTTTCACGTATAGGGCGAAGGCAATGAACCACTAGTAGAAAAAGGCTCATTTGCGTCGCTCATTTATAGTGTATTTGCGTCGCTTCTATGAGCGACGCAACTGCTCGCGACGCAAATGACTTAAAAGTCATTTGCGTCGCTCCTAGGCGCGACGCAAATAAGAGTCATTTGCGTCGCTCCTTTATAAAGGAGCGACGCAAATGACTCTTCTAATAAGCTTATTTTTTGTTATTTGCGTCACTCCTTTATAAAGGAGCGACGCAAATGACTCTTATTTGCGTCACTCCTTTATAAAGGAGCGATGCAAATGACTCTTCTGATAAACTTCTTTTTTGTTATTTGCGTCACTCCTTTATAAAAGAGCGACGCAAATGACTCTTCTGATAAACTTCTTATTTTTTATTTGCGTCACTTGTTTATACAGGAGTGACGCAAATGACTGAGTAGACAATAAAAAAATTGTTGTATTTGCGTCACTTGTTTGTTTAATGAGTGACGCAAATGAGGTGATTTTTTTTTTAATTATAATAATTGCCTTGTATATGTTTGTAGTACCTGTTTTCCTTACTAGTGGTATAAAGTAATATGTTAACGCTAATATAATTGAAATTAAAATGCAATATTATTGAATAATGCAAATGTAAATTTCGGCAGAGTCTCCTTTGTAATTTGGCCTACCCATAAAATTGGGAATGACGGCATTATATTAACAACCTGTCCAATAATTTACATCTCAATATCATAGACATTATACTCATCATCCCAACACCAATTAACCAAATTCGTTCATTTCAAGCCTATAGTCCAAAACAAGAGTCCAACATGCGCTAAGTGTAAATCTAAAGTTCAACATTACATATAAAATACTCTGCCCAAATATCTCGAATCTCATTTATCTCCTCCTCGGTGTACGGTGTAGTTCTTGAAAAATCCTATCAACACAACAAATATACAAGAGGAAAGTTTTAATTCAAGATTGTAGCTAACATCAAATTGTATTTATCAAACAAAAATGAAATATTTGACAACTCATACCTGAATAAGATCCTCACTGCTATGGTGATGTTCAAGTATTTCGTACATATAACGTATGACGTAGTAGCCACACTCACGTCCACCCAATTGTTGAGGACACTACATGTAATATATTTATAAGTTGAATTAAATTGCTATAGTTAAATTATTAAGAAACTAAAAGTTAGGGTAAGAAATTAAGGTAACCTATCCCATGCCATGTCAATTTACTTCCCCTAGATTGTCCACTTAATGCTTTAAAACTTCGAAAAGCACTACACATTTGAAACAAATAACATATATATTACCCTTACACACATAAAATCATGACATTAATAACAAACTAGACTTACATTGTCATTGCAAACTTAAATGCTAAATTTAGCTTCTGCCTCAAAGAATCAAAGATGATGACTTCACGCTTAGCCATGCATAAGACCAAAAGAACCCAATGATTCCTACATAATAAATTAGACACACATTTGTAAAAGAGTAAAATAATATCAACAATTTGCAAAGTTCAAATAAATACAAGTTCAAAGTTTATACTTTTCATGGTATGGACATAAGATGAACTGCTTAGATTTTTGTTTTTCCATCACATGTGTCATGTATAGTAGGATACGATCAGCATCACTATGCAAATAGGTTTCTGAAATCATTTCCGGACACATGAATCCAATGGAAGCCACTTCCTCCGTATCGAGTTAGTCACTCAAGGCCCTACATATATATCATGTAATAACATTATAAATGGTAATAAATAAGTATATATGGGAAGAGTGAAATTTGAATATCTTACATCATAAAAACTTGCAAAACTGAAATATTCATCCAAGCTCCTGTGAGAAGTTGATTGACATCTTCACGTTTGATAATGATGTCCTTACTGTCTTCATAACTAAAGGTCCAAGCATCAGCCTTTACCTTAATAGTTTCACCTTCGGGTAATGAAGATAACAAACTATTCAAAGACCCACACTTCTGAGACAAGTTTTCCAAAGCATAATCCATAAGAAAAACGTTTTTTGGATTGGTGTTGGACTCTTTTGTTTTGTGACCACTTTCAACTACTTTCAGTTTGTCTTGCATGTTTTCTTTGGCCGCTTTGTTGTTACCATTGTTCTTATTTGATATGAATTCCTAATCAATAGTAAAACAAATCTATTCAACAATTTGCTATATTTTGTATGGCAAACTATATGTAAATTGTTACAAAAATAATTTACCTTGTCATGCATGAGTGAAACCAAGTCTTTCGGCCATTGGGTAAATGTACCGTGAGCATGCTTAAGTTTCTTGATGACTGAAGAAGGAACTGGAACCGAGAATTCTTTGAACTCGTCAAAAAAATCATCAACACTCACCCTCACGTGATCCGGAAGGAGGTTACTATGATGATCAAGGATTAACTCCGGATGATATGTACCTTCAGCGACAATGACTTTCTCAGAGTCATTTTTCAACAATGATAGCCGACAAGGAACCGGTTCCGTACAAAGATAGAAAAAAATCATAATTAAAAAATATAGAAAACTGAGTTACAAAGTTAAAAGTATGTCGCAGTCATAAATCATTAAAAAAAAGATAAAAAAATATAAAATAACAAAGTTTTGGATACCTGTATGTTTGCAAATGGATCATCACCCACTGATTGGCAACTACTAGGATTTTGTTGAGTCGTCCGGCCTATGTTATTAATTTCCATCAATTCAGTTGGAATTTGAATACCAATCTGTTTAGCAAATAACATAAACTTCACTTGAACCATGGAATCCATTTTAGAATCCATCTACTTCATAGTCTCCTCTCGTACCCTCCGGGCTACTCTTGCCTCTAATTCTCCCAGCTCATCATCTCCGAATTCCCTACCCCGTCGGCCACTACGCCTCTCTCCGGATCCCCATACAGCTTTAATGCCAATTCCACTGCCAAATGCTATTGCCCGACCATTACGATCTTTTTTCCTAAGGGCGCGAGATAAGATATCATCATGCCTATTAGGAACAAATTTTCCTTCAGCTTGTTGGTTTCTCCAATTATCCTACACAATGACTTCAAGTTAGAAAACTTTGGTTGCAATACATAAACTTAACAAAATATATTCAAAATTGAAATAAAGACCTATTTCATACTTACAATGGATTCTTTCACCTCTCTTGTTTTCTCATCCGGCAAATAAGGATTTCCCTTATCATATTCTATTGATCTTGCTAGAAGCCAAGCATATGTCCTATCCGGCAAACTAGACACAACCGAAGAACAAGATGAAGTACTGGATGTTGAAGATGCCGTGGGAATATACCCTTTTCTACGCCATAAAATATTCATTTCACCATATGATTTGGCTCCTAAATGGTGAGGGTATTCATTGAAAGATTGGCTTTGTCTTGCCTTCTCACTGATTTCCTATTTTCACGAGCATAAATGAAGATTAGTACATAAGAATCCGTTAACAAAGTATTAATAACCCTCATGATCATTGATATTAATACACACAAACCTTAAAATCATCTGTACTATGCTCCTCCACAAATGTTTTCCACATATCCTCAGATATGAAATCATAGAGTACATACGGAATTCTTTTCTCCTTCGGCATATTCCTGGTACATGTGATCCAACCACTGACCAATTTTGTTTTAAAATCTCTCCAAGTTTTATCACAAGTGCGTAGGACCTTTTTTTTCTTGTCTTCATCTTCTTCGATTTGAAACTCTCTCTACAAAAAAAATTAAAAAAATAAAAAAAAGTTAGTAAAAAATTTCATCATATTCAAATAAATTGTTTTCATCATATTCAAATAATGTCAAAATGATCATATAATAGTATAAAATTTAACATATAATAGTGAATATTACCTTAACATCTTCCCACAAAGTGTCTTTTATTCCTTGTGGAACTTGATTCCAATCTTTATACAATATAGACACCTTTGCACGGCTTATTTCACCAACATGAATTTTGTATGCTTTTGCCCACTTTCCAATGGGTCGACACAATTCATCCCATTCAAGCACTCTAGGAACCCCAGGCATGGATTTCAGGCCCTTTGAAGGACCTCTTGACTGCTTTTTCTTCTTCTGAGAGTCGGTTGTTTGTTGCTCTGATTGTGATTGATTGTGTGGATCATCTTCCTCACCTTGCAAAGACATGGAACGATTATGCATATCCTCATCCTCCATTATTACTTACCTGAAAAAAAAGACATAAATAAATTAAGACATCGATTTGTATCATTTTTAAATTATAAACTTGTACAAATAACAATAATAAGCAATTTATGCAATTACTAACACATATTGGAAAAAAATTCACAAAATTCATACCTACTTCATTCTTCTCTTTTGCGACATAAAATCCTTCATTATGATCTTTTCGTTTCAACGTTGTGTCAAAATCATCGACTATTGGAGGGATGCTCCAAACGGAAGGTGGTGACTCATTAAATTTCTCATCATATTCTTCCTCGTCCACCACATCTTCAATGCCAAGAATCCTTCTTTTACCTTCTAAAACAACTGACCACTTACAATTAGCTGGGTCAGCCATGTAAAAAACTTGTTTTGCTTGTGAAGCAAATATAAATGGATCAGCTAGATGCCCTCGTCGACCAAGATTTACAAGGGTCAAGTTCCCTTGTTCATCTTTTTTTACACCACGGCTACTATCAGCCCACTTACATCGAAATAGAGGAATCTTGAAATCAACATAATCCAGCTCTATTATTTCTTCAATGATTCCATAATAAAATTTCTTCTTATCCACAAGTGTTTTATCATGTGCACTAACATACTCAGATGACAAACCTACTACTTTAACACCACTGTTTTGCATTGTTGACTTGTCATCTTGTCGGCTAGTGTAAAAAGAATACCCATTGATGTCGTATCCCTCATATGACATGACTTGACATTTAGCACCATATGCCAACCATCTCAATGTGTCAGATATATCGTTAGGTGTGGTGGATAGTTGGGACATCACTCGTTCCTAAACCATGTAATGAATGAACAATTATGCTCCATTATTAGCTGAAGATCACTTTTGGAAGGATATTTATTTTTAAGAAAAAGCATGTGCTCGTCCAAGTAAGGATGAACCTCACTAAGATTTTGCAACACAAAAAGCTCGGCCTTATTTTTCATTTCAAAGCCCATGGATATCCTTTTCCTGCCAATAGTACCTTGACCTCCAAGCCTCCCATCGTGTCGAGACTTTGGCAACCCAATTTTCTGTGAACGTGCAAGATATTGAGCAACCCATGCTGCCACTTCCTCAGCAACTGTTCGTTGTACAATACTAGCTTCAGGTTTGGCCAGATTCATGACTTTTCCCTTTAAGTCACCCATTTCTCGTTCAAAAGGATACATGTATCTCATACACACTGGTCCACAAAGTTTAATTTCACGTACACGATGAATAACCAAATGAGGCATCACGTCAAAAAAAGATGGGGGAAAATACATTTCAAATCGACACATTGTCTCAAGTACATCTGCTTGCAAGTCATCTAAAATACTTGGATTTATGACCTTGCTACAGATAGTGTTAAAAAGACACATAATCTTGTAATCGTATACCTCACTTGAGGTGGAAAAATTCCTCGAATGGCAACTGGTAATAATTGTTGCATAAAGACATGACAATCATGAGATTTCATGTCACCCAATTTCAAGTCAGACATTGACACAAGTCTACAAAAATTAGAAGAAAATCCAGTCGGGACCTTTAAACCATGCAATGACTCACAGAAGCTAGTTTTTTCCTTTTTAGACAAGGTAAAGCAAGCTGGGGGAAGATACCAGCGTTTTCCTCGAGATTCGGGTGCCAACTCTGAACGACCCATAGCAGCCATGTCTTTTCTTACTTTAACTCCATCCTTTGTCTTTCCTGGCATATTTAATAAAGTTCCCAAAATGGCATCACAGACATTTTTCTCAATATGCATTACATCTAGACAATGCCTAACTTCCAAATGTCTCCAATATGGAAGAGACCATAGCTCAGACTTCTTCTTGTAACCCCCAGTTCATTTGCTTTTGTAAGGCTTACCAAACTCATTCTCAATGTCTTTGACCCGCTGATAAACCCCACTTGCACGTAAAGGGCCACGATCTTCTCTCAACTCCACTTTTCCATTAAAAGCATCCTTATTGAATCGAAAAGGGTGGTCTTCTGGAAGATGTCTTCGATTATCCATGTATACATGCTTGCCACAATTGTCTAGGCGCAATGCCTCCAAATCATCTTCACAAATGGGGCAAGGAATTGTTCCCTTCACAGTGTACCCCGACAAATTCCCATAAGCTGGGAAGTCATTTATCGTACAAAAAATCATGGCACGTAAAGTGAAATTGGTTTTACTATATGCATCAAACATTTAGACACCTTCATTCCACAACAATTTCAAATCTTCAATGAGAGGCGCTAGATACACATCAATGTCATTTCCAGGTTGTTTAGGCCCAGATATTGGAAGGGACAACATAATGTATCTAGACTTCATGCATAACCAAGGAGGCAAATTGTAGATAATTAGAAGAACCGGCCAAGTGCTACATTGGGTACTTATTGTCCCAAATGGGTTCATTCCATCTGTACTATGACCAAGCCTAAGATTTCGATCTTCTTCACCAAAGTCCTTGAAATTTTCGATCAATGTTCCTCCATTGCGGGGAATCAGCAGGATGCCTCATTAACCCATCTTTCTTCCTCCCATCAGCATGCCACCTCAATAATTTTGCAGTTTTTTCATCCGAGAAGAGTCTCCTAAATCTCGGTATAATTGGAAGATACCATAATACCTTAGCCGGAGACCCTTTCTTACACATCTCACCAGTATCATTCATCTTGTAACGAGAAACTCCACACCTTGGACACTCATGCAAATCAGCATACTCATTTCGATACAACAAACAGTCATTGGGACAAGCATGTATCTTCTCATACTCCATACCCAAGGGGCACATAAGTTTCTTGGCCTCATAGGTGGAGTTTGGAAGTTCATTCCCGTCGGGAAACATTTCTACTAAGGCTTCTAACAACTGCGTAAAACCCTTGTCGGTCCAACAATTGCTCTCCTTTAAGTTGAATAACTTCATAATAGCACCAAGTTTAGTGAACTTTGTACAACCAGGATATAACGGGGTTTCAGCAGCTCTCAAAATACTATCATATGTCTAGGGACACTCTGTGAAATGGTCTTCAACATCATGCATCATTTCATCTATCCTGTCCTTCTCCACTTCACTCTCACTTTCAACACCAATATCATCAGCTGTATCGATATCCTCACCTTGGTGTTCATTATCATCATCACAATGATTCTCATCTTCCCTTGGACAATAACTAGAACTTGCCTCAATATATATGCTCTTACCATGCCATGTCCACCTCGTGTAGTTTTCTTTAAACCCACGACGAATTAGATGATCTTTAATATAAACTATATCACGATATCCCCTCGAATTATTACAGTCACAACAAGGACAAAGAATAATTTTTGATTTATTCTCTGTTTGGTGTTTTAAGTAACAGTGCTAAACTCTTCAATTGCTCGTAAAAAACTTGTACAATTTCGTTTACCATACATCCAACTTCAATCCATTTTCAACCACTGAATAACAAAATTAATTTTAAGATAATGTGTATATTTTGTAACATATATAGCTCCTTAACCATAAACAAGAATATAAGGCATCAAACATTTTCATTCAAAGTTTATATCATGTAAATGCAACTCCGGATGATCCAATAAGGTCCTTATCACTCCAACCTAACCCATTCTTGAATGTCCTATCTCACTAATAACTACTTGTAAAGTTTGGTTCTAAAGAAAATCCGGCAGCATTTCCCTATAGTTCTCCAAGCACACAATGTAGATAATCGGTTATCAACATATGTACCCAGAGAAAAATCGGGAAATAGTGACCATGATCTTCTTAGACCCAAAACAATTCAAGTAGTTATCACCTAAATGAGATAGAACATTCAAGAACAGTCCCAAACCGGGGACTATTCAAGACTTACTCCTAATGAGTAAGCCCTGACCGGGTATTTAAGCCAATGATGCAAGTATTATTGCAATTCCAATCTATTATATCACAATTAAAAATCTCATACAATTCACAATCATTATACCAACCAGAACAAATAAGTTAATATTGCAAAGAATGGTTCAGATATATATACCACAAGTGCAGACAATCTCGTATGCGTACTACCGCCTTAATCGTTTGTCCACAACCAGAACCTCGAGCAACTTGTGGAATTCACTTCCGCATAATTAAAAATCTGCCATAAAAAATTACATATATTAAACCAACATAGTTGATTCAACTTAATCTGCCATGTGACATAAAAGTTGTGTCATAGATTTTACATGTATTTTGTAATTTATTTAGCAGCATTTTTACAGCAAATTAAAGATAAGACAGTTGAAAAACAAGGGTCAATGTTACTGAATTTAATGGTCAGGATGAAGATTGACAACACGTGGCTTATCTATTTTTGCAAAACCGCTCACATAGTCATATTATGCACTCGATTTCAGTTATATATTTGAAATCAGTAATATATTGCAAACCAGGAGCTCAAAAATCAGCAGCTCAAAGATGCAACCAGTTATATATTCAACTAAAATCTGCCATATATATTTTCTAATTAATGAACTAACACTAGTAGAAAAGTTGAAAAAGACACCGCTCAATGGCCACCGGTTTTTGAAAACCGGTGGCTTAAAAAATGAGCGGGATTAGGCATATGTACATTGCCACCGGTTGAAGCTGAACCAGTGGCATAAATGATAAAGGCCACCGGTTTTGAACCGGTGGAAATAATCAAATAATAAAAAAAAACCCACCATTCTCTTTTCCCTTCCTTTATATACCCTAATCATAATCTTCTCTCTCCTATATCGCCTCTCCTCCTGCTCTCCTCCTTCTCTCCTTCGTTCTTACTCCCCCTCTCTCTATCCTTCTCTCCCTCTCTGTTCTCTCGATCTCTCTCTATCCTGCTCTCCCTCTCTGTTCTCTCTCTCGTCGCCCTTCGTCCTCTCTCCTCCGTTCTCCTCCTTCGTCCTCCATCAAATCCGCACTACACAGCCACCATCAACCACCGAAATCACCCAACTTCACCCAAAAAAAATCCATTACCCACGAAATCACCACCACGCCACCACCAAACCAGCAACACCAACATCAACAACACCGACAGATCTACATCATCAACACCAATTTTTTCTCTTTTTCGCAGTTATTAGGTTTGATATTTTGAGGTTACGATTTCTGGGTTTAATTGATTTTGTAATTGCTATGTTTAATTGATTTTGGAATTTTCTGGGTTTAATTGATGAGTGTTGATAGGTCTATGTTTATGGGTTTAATTTGATTATTCAAGGGTTTCTGGGTTTATGTTTAATTCGAAATTGCATGAGTGTTCTTGATTTTTTTTTAATATTTTTTATTTTTTATTTTTTTCGTGTTTTTTGTGAGTTTTTATTTATTAATTTTAATCTTGGTGTTCTGATTTTCGAAATTGTACGAGTATTCTGGTGAAATTGCATGCGTTTTTTTTTAGGTTTTTTTGTTTTATTTTGAGTTTTCTGTTTTTTTTTTCGGGGATTTCTGGGTTAATATTTTTTTTTAATTATTAATTTGAGTCTTCTGGGTAGATAATGCATTTTTTTTAGTTCTTGAGTTTTATTAATTTTGGTGTTTTAATTGATACAGGTATTAGATTATGACTCCACGAAGAATCAAGATGTTTGTGTCAAAAAAAGATCAAGATGTTGATTTTGGAATATTGTTTTAGAACATAATTTTATTTTTTTTGTTTCTGATGTTGTAATTTTATTTATTTATTAATTTATTTTTATGTTGTAATTTTTTTTGATTTTGGTATTGTACAATAACAATTTAATGATAATTATATTTTGGATTATATTTCGGTTGATTTCGGTGTTTTTTTTTCGATGTTGTGTTTCTTACATAATTACATTGAATCGTTGGAGTATATTTCAAGTGGAAAAAACAAAACCAAAAAAAAAATATATATATATTTACATGTACATTGCCACCGGTTAACTGGTGGCATTTATATATAATACCCAAAAAAAATAAAGCTGGAAGGGTTATTGCCACCGGTTAACCGGTGGAAATACTTATTTTTGCCACCGGTTGTGAACCGGTGGCCTTTGCTTCGGAGTATTGCCACCCCCCAAATGACCAACGGTTCAAAACCGGTGGCATTGGGGGGTTTTGAACCGGTGGCCAATTCATATTTTCGCCTAATGTAACACAAAACCCGAAATTAAACTAAGTCATTGTTCAAGTTAAATGCTACATTCTATCTACCATGAAAAGAATGAACATAAATAGAAGCAATCTTACCTTAGGTGAAATTGACTTCACAAATTCAACAATGTCAAGCCGAAATCCCCCCTTGAATTATTGTTGCTGTAATTTCTTGACTGAAATTCGAACAATTTCTATTTATGAATGAAATGGGGGATTTCGAACCCTTAAACCCAGAAAAAGACGTAATTCGAACAATTATTGTTGCTGTAATTTCTTGACTGAAACTATTGTTGCTGTAATTTCTTGACTGAAATTCGAACAAAAATTATTTATGACTGAAATGGGATGAATTTCTTAGGGTATATTGCGTCGCTGCCAAAAACCCTAGAAATCCCCCCTCAAAATCCCCCAATGAAACTTGAAGACCGAAATTGAATTTTTTGGGGTTTCTAGGGTTCGAATTCGTATGCTTTTGAGTTGATTTTTTGCTCGAAATGGGGGATTTTTGGTCGGAAACAATCAATTTTTCTGGGTTTAAGGGTTCGAATTTCTTAGGGTTTTTGGTCTAAATTTTTCCTCGAAATTGCTTGGATTTGCTTCAACTTGACTGCAATTTTAATTTAGATGTTAAATTTGCTGGGGAATCGCAGTTTTTTGGCCTAATTTGTTGGATTTCAGAGACGAATTTGTGGGTGTTTTGCTGTAGAAATTCACTGGAAGAACTCTTGTTTTTTTTCTTTTTGTTTAGTGAATGTAGGCATATGTGATGAAAAACTAAGGTAAAAAAACGCAGAATAACCTAAAGCCAAAAGAGTTATTTGCGTCACTTTATTATAAAAATGCGACGCAAATAACCTTGTTTATGATATTGTACACAGCTCATATGCGTCGCTCATTTAGTAAAAGCGTGACGCAATTTACTTAATCACTTATTTGCGTCGCTTGTTAACAAATGAGTGACGCAAATAAGTTTATTAATTGCGTCGCTTTAATAAATTAGAGCGACGCAAATGAGAGAAAGCTGAAATGCACTTGAGTTTTGCGTCGCTTCTTGAATAACATGCGACGCAAATAACTTAAAAGGATGGTAAAAATAAACATTTGCTTCGATCCTTAGAATGAGTGACGCAAATATGGCGACGCAAATGTACATTTTTCTACTAGTGTTCGAATATGGCTAGGTGTTTCTAGA